CGCGCACTTCCACCGAAACTGGGTGACTGCGCCCTACGAGATGGGGATTTGTATGCAAAATGTCACTAAAAGCGCCATTTCGTTCTTATAAAAGCACGGATGACCGCGATTGGCCCATATGTTGTAGTCTTTGGGACGCTGAGTCGACTGGTTTTGGTCCGAAAAGGCTGCGATGCGGCGTTCCTCCTTTATTCCCAATCGAACATGGTTGAAGAAGCGGTCACGTGCTCCTGCGTACACCAGTCACCTGGTCACCGTGCCTGCAGGGTACAACTTACTAGCCTGTTTGACCTTTTTTGGGTGCAGTCCTGTCACTCGAGTTGAACCCGAGTTGAACCTTGGTGTGAAAGTTGTCACCTGCTGGCGTGGTGACTAGGTGATTTGGGCACCCAGGACCACGTGACCGCTTCTTCAACCATGTTCGATTGGGAATAAAGGAGGAACGCTGCATCGCAGCCTTTTCGGACCAAAACCAGTCGACTCAGCGTCCCAAAGACTACAACATATGGGCCAATCGCGGTCATCCGTGCTTTTATAAGAACGAAATGGCGCTTTTAGTGACATTTTGCATACAAATCCCCATCTCGTAGGGCGCAGTCACCCAGTTTCGGTGGAAGTGCGCGAGTTCGATTGGGATTCAAGCAGGAAGGGAGCGTCTCAGCTTCCTCGGACCAAGACCATTCGACTCAGCACCCCGAAGACTACAACTGGTGAAATTTTAATTTTTGCCTTAACTTCCCCTTTAAAAAAAAACCTATCCAGGGCAGGTTGAGGCTTCCAGAACCGTGATGCAGCTCAACTGCAGTGCAGCAGTGGACTTCCTGAACTGCATACAGGGGATTTTGGACCCATGAACCCTATATAGGGTGCTGGACATCATATAGTGCATACACCTTCTACTGAGTCCAACACATATGTGTGTAACACTCTTGGAAGAGAATGCACGAAATCTATGTCAGTTCCAGACTGCGTAGCCACCTCCCTTGCACACCGTACAAAAAGTACTTGCAGCAGTTGTAGAACATGTGCGAAGCCTTGCTGACCAGTGATCCTGTAGGCAGAGCTGCCCACTACCTTTGGCATTGCAGGATTCTACCTTGGACAAATTTGGGTGTAAACCGAGATTCAGACTGCATACCTGCATTATGGCAGAATATTCTGGGCTGAGAAAAAAGTGGCCGGTTACAGGCTCGGCCCCAGCCCGGCTACCTGCGAACTCAGGAACCACACTAACTGTGCTCTGGCGCCGCATCATCAGTCACCGTGTACATAACAATGCATGCTGGCAGCGCCTGTCTGTGCGTAAGTACAGTGGCACCTGTAGATCTGCTGCTAGCACCGCAGCGGCATTACTGACATGTAGTGCGGACCATCGACTAGTTAACCCGGAGTCGTTCTGCTCTTGCTTCCTTTAAAATTGTGCTTGCTTACTTTGGTCCCCAGTCAGTTGTTGTAACCACCCGAATGGTAAACATTGGGCCACACCTGGGTGATGTGTTGATTGGAGACAAATGCTATGCACTAACACATCCATGATGGTGCATTGGGCTACAACAATGGATTCATGTATGCGTATATTGAGGTGGAATATGACGGCTGTGGTAGCAAAGATTTCCAGCACATAGTGTAATAAATAGTGGTTCCGACTTCGGCGATGACTTGTTAGGAAAGGGTTTGCTCTCCACACTGGAGCTGCGCTGTTTCGCCGGCTTGACTCGACACGTGTAATAACTCGGAGAAAAATACCGAGCTGTGGGTCGTCTTTCTGTTTTGTTTTTCAGGATGTTCTGATGGCCTCGTCAATGCTGAGCGGGTTTCTGCCTCCAGAGTAAGTTGCATGATATTCACGAGTACATCTCATCTTTACTTTCCTTGTTATGTGTGGGCGACAATGCATATTAAATGTGTCCACACACACACACACACACACACAATGTGGCAGTCATTATCCCCAGTGAGAAAGCAGATCAGCAATTTAGCAGCATCATGTCAGTGGCACCGAGGCATTTGAGTGGGCTGAGGAAGTTGACTGTCAGCTTGTATGATGGTTGGAATTAGAGTATGATTCATTCTACTTGTATGATGCACAAATAGAAACCATCTGAGAAACCTCCGCTTCACCTTGGCTTTCCTATGCCGTGTGTTTTCTTACAAGTGATGGTCTCAATTCGGACGTAGCAGGCTTCTTCAAAAGAGAAAGGGATGACCTGCGAGACGCAACGCTGCTGAAAGTCAGCCGCGAGGATCCATTTTTTGTGAGTTGCTTTTTTTGTTTTTTTTTGTTAGTTTGCCAAGCAGAATGCAATGCTGTGGAATACATTTAGTTCATAAGTGGGAGCCTGTAAGGGTTATCCAAAGTATCTGACCTGGCTCGTATAGTAATATTACTATTACTATCCATGAGTTATCATGGGTCTGCTGATGCTGTGATGCGAGAACAATACGGTAGCTACCTTCCTTCATGTTCTACTATGCAGGATTTCCAGGCGACTTTGGCTAACATTGGTCGTGTTGGCTTGCGGCGGCCATTAAGTATCACTTTCTATTCCGAAGTAACTCGGCAAGTCGAATTGGTAAGGCTCTTTGAATAAGACATGCTCTTTACTGTAAACTTATTACTTAGCATTGCCAGGTTAGATATGTCCTGGTAGTGTTACAATCAGGATGTTATACTTCTAGCCGGCTGAGCCAAGACAGATGGGCAAGAAATGATTTCTCGAACAATAAATTTTCAATAAAGCTACGAAAAGTATCAAATGCGCACTCATGATTATAATATACACATGCAAGATATAGTCATGATTGTGCATCTGATGCTGTCACGGGAGTCATAGCTATATTCAAATCGCTGTCTCCATGTGGATTATTTCAATATTTTCTGTTGCATTAAATTTTAATATGGCATGTGATGGTTTTGTCTATCATTGTTTCTTTTCTGGCTTCCTCAGTTAGTAGGTTTTGAGTCTCACCAGTGCCCCTGTCTATCCACCCTTCATTTCTCTGCATCTTGATCTTGCATTTTCAAGTTTACAATGATTTGCTTTGCCATGCTTCCATGAATGATGATGTCATAGCGCCACTTGGGGTACACACTAGTACTAGTATACACCCGGGTTTCCTCATTACTGTGTCTGTCGGAGCGAGGGTTTTCCCTGGCTGGCTCGGCCCACCGGGTAAATCGATCTGCACCATGGCCTATTTCTGGAATCCGCGAGCATATCGTTTTCATTTTGAGACCTTCTGTTCTCGGTCCTTGCTTCTAGACCGTTCTCTTGTTATCCGGCTCACATCTGGCTGTGGCCACCTATCCCTCGATGTGTGTGTGTGTGTGTGTGTGTGTGTGTGCCGTTGCCCTTGTTGCCCTTGTTGTCCAGTCTGTGTGCCAGTAACTGTGAACAAGAAAACAGAGGAACCTCGGAATTCCGCCGCACTGCTTTTTGGACCAGTCAAAGTGGTCTGATTTCTGAGAATGACTATCCTGCAATCGCTCCTGTGGACGCAAATTCGGAACTAACTGAAAGTAGTCAGTTTAGGCCGGCAGTCGGAAAGTCAGGTTTCACTGTATTTGAACTATCAAGGTTCAATCTGTAGCAAAATCAAAAAGACTTCGGTTGCTACATCACACTCCCTAGACGTCTTGTTCATATAAGATTTGAGCCTATTGTCAAGGTCCAGCCCCCCCCCCCCCACACACACACCACGACATCACTACTGCCCTGACTACATTAGCTTTAGCATGTTCATTCACATTCTTCATCATTTGTGAGAACTAGACCTGGTCTAGTGAGAAGGCACTCTACTGCCTGTAATTCTGGTGAAGTAAAATAAAGTACAAGTAACAACAACTACATGACTCAATATGGTGTTCCTGTTATGTTCTTGATCATACTGTCCTTAGGGTGCTGACTATGGAGGTGTAGTACGCGAGTTCATGGCGGTCATGTCACACCAGTTCAAAGAGGACTTTTTCCAGGTTTCTGAGGGCTCGGAGTTTTACTGGTTTGCAGACGCCTTCTCCAATGCTCCATTCGACAAGTGCAGCATTCCGTACTTCTACACTGGCGTGGTCCTGGGTAAGACTGCCAAACTGTTCTTGCGAATACTTCTGTGTAATGTATTGTTTGCGCAGTCTGTCAGTTCAGTGGCTACATACAGTACAGCAATGTGTGCGGTTGCTAGCAGAACTTTGGAAAATAAATTGTGGTGCTTCACGGCGGCTTACATAGGAATATAATTATTATACCTCGGATGTGCAGTCCACCAACCTTGCAGTGCTCAATGTGTTTAGGATTTCAACATCAACCTCAATTTCCAAGTCGTGGAACCCTTTGCTACAGATAGGACCTGCAAGGTGGAACACGGAAAAATGGGTCAACTGTCTGTTTCCCCTGCCCCCTGCCCCCCCCCCCCACCCTGGCTAGAATTCTGAGAGTGTATGGGTTGACGAAGGACAGTCACATACTGAGTTCTGCTTGATGTTCCTTTGGTCCAGGCCTGGCTCTCTACAACAACGTCTTTATGGACCTGCCTCTGTCGTATCCTTTCTGGAATCAACTGCTGGGGATCCAGCCCAAGTTGATGGACTTCAAGACTATCGTGGTGGGTACACATCCAAGTAGCTACATGTAGCAGTGCAAACAGGACCGTGCCATTGATAGTGCAGATTGTATTGTACCTCTGCTCACTCTCTGCTCACTCTCTGCTCACTCTCTGCTCAATGTTCCTTACACATGCTTTTTACTATTTGTTGTGGGTGAATCCCAAGACGTTGTGCTTTTTTCCCGTAAGGAAATATGCATCATGTAGAAAGATGGCACACAGTCTATGTTAACATGCATAGATATGTATACAAGAAAGAAATGGCAACAGGATGCTAACAAAACTAAATATGAAATATACAAATCAGGTCTCTAGCTAGGTCAACATAATAGGGGTGGGGGGGGGGGGGGGCAGGGGAAGCAGTGGCCTCGTAACCCATTTTCTCCATTTTCCAAAATTGTCTTGCCATGCAAAATGCAACGTTGGGGGAGGGGGGGGCAAACCCCCTACTTTGCCCCTGTGCCTTAAATGGCATGAGAAAAACACAAAAATCGACAAATGAGTGTGTGTGTGGGGGGGGGGGCTTTATCACAGGAGGGCGTTCAATCAAAGAAGGGGGGGGGGCTGCGCCCCCTACCCTCCTTTGGCTAGAACCCTGCGAATGATGTCTACATTGTGATAAACTGTAAATTTGACGACACACTACGTTGGCTATCCAAAATTACTTGGCGTATTTGAAGAAATTTTGGATGATATTCTGCTCTTTAAATATCTCTACCAAAGCTGCCTTTGTTTGTTCTGTAGCAACTTTCAGTGGAAATAAAGAAGTTGTAGCTTCTATGTGGAGCTTACACTTACTCCCAAATTAGCTGGCGAGAGTGGTGCCGAAGTAAAAACTCATTGGCTGGTTCGCAAAGTTCAACAGCCAGGGGTGACCATGGTGCCCTCCCCCCCCCCCGGCAAATAGCACTGTGTATCGGGCAGGGAGCGGTGCCTTTTTGCAGGTTTGCCGAGTGGAAGCTTTGGCATGCTCCTCGTATCCTCCAGATGCCAGTCGCGAGTCGGCCAAGTGTCAACATATTTGGCGGGCGGGTGAGCTCCACATAGGAGCAGCCAACTTCTTCAATACACAGTACTGCCGAAGTGGCTCCTTCAGAGTTAACATCTTTCTTTTCTCATCATTATTTTACTGCTTGTGGAGACGCCCATGATAAGTATTTGTTTTCTTTACGAGAGTTTAAAAAAATTAACTTGACTCATTTAATCCGGCGCATCGTACAATCCAGTAGCTTGTCTGATTCTACTGTTTCTCCTATGCGCCTGCTGCCACTATGATCTGTCTCTCCGCAGCCAGATCTGTATGTACAGATGCAAAAGCTGTACGATTATGATGAGGAGACGCTGGAAGATCTCGACATGGTGTTTGAGGTAGGTGTGTGTGTGTGTCACTACTACCAGGTGTGGGATAATGGTTATTTGGACTTTCATCTCCGGATGATGGTGGTGGTGATGATGGTAACCTGGCCCGTGAATTCGGCTATGGACCTTCGTTAGGTATTGAATCTGCACATTTTACCTACATACACAAGGATTTGTCCACTACAATGATCCCGCCGATCATGGATGATCCTGCTGGTTTATCTTATACATACATTCAAATACTTAAAATGGCAATAAATAAGATAAATTGTGCACTCATAACAACAGCAAAAATGAAGAAAGTCAAGTTCCATAACGTTTTCTTAAAACGTTATGGAACTTGACTTTCTTCATTTTTGCTGTTGTTATGAGTGCACAATTTATCTTATTTATTGCCATTTTACGACTATTGTCTCCTCGTCGATTGTTTAAATTCAAATACTTAGCAATAATATTTTAATGTTGAACGATCTCTGCTTGGATGACAGCTACACCATGGTCAGTGGTTAGAGCATTGCTGGCCTCAAGCAAAGGTCCCTGGTTCGAGTCCTGGAGGTGACAGTCAATTTTTTCTTCAGATTTTTTTCCCTTGGCTCCATTCCCCCAACTAGTGAATGGTATGGACATCGTGACATCGTGACATCGTGACATCGTGACATCGTGACATCGTGATTATAGAAATGTGGTTTATCACAATCTGGGACTGTGGCCGGTCATTCTCATCTCGGCATGTCACTAACTACTGTACTAGCTCAAAGTCACTCGAAACGTTTTTCAAACAAACTCAGAAAAGCTGTGTCATACACTGCATCGGCACGGAGCAGGGAAATCCCCTTTTCACCGAATTACCTGACGCATAAGAAATCCATCGAAAGAGGACCTACGGCTCGGTTACTCTACTATATCAGCCTCTGCAAGAGAATCTATCCTGCCTTGTACGTATTTTGGACAGTGTAAAATTTGGTTGGGATTTGAAGGCGGAGTTAGACTTGTTGACTACCCGTACATGGGAAAGGCTCAAATTGGAGCCGTTCACTCGGGAGGGTGACCAAATGTTCTACTGTCGCACCCAGTCCAATCTCAGGACGCTCGTTTTCTACGTGTTGAAGGAACTTGGAAGCAACCTTGCTCTACACGATAATGTGCATGCCCCTGAATGTGTAACTGTTGTCACGGTGTACGCTATAGGTCACGTGCAACATCACTGGAAGGAAGATCGACTTACAAAGATTGGACAGTCTTGGAGAAGACGACATTCAAGAACCAAAACCTGTCTCTTGGCGTCCGGCTACAGTGACAAAGGAGGTAAGCCTGCTGTCTTGGCTGGAAAGTTGCAGAATCAATCTCGCCGCCTTGAACACTGTCCTTTTCTTGTGTGCGAGCAAAATGAATCGCTCTGATCTCTCTTCTTCTCTTTCAATCTGTGTATCAGTCTCACCTGCTCAGTTTGCCCATTGCTCACCTCCTCACTAACTCACACATGAGCACACACACATACACACACGTGCACACATGGCACACATGGCACACACACGGCACACACACACACACACACGCACAGGCATACACACACGACAGTAGCAAACAACGCGGGGCGTCTGAGAACTCATTGGTGCGCTCCTGTTTGTTGTTGCAGAATCTTGACGAGTACATTGTGAGGTTCTTGCACTACCACTGTATTCTTCGCTTCCGGCAATGCTTTGTGGTACGTAATAGCTTGGCTGGCCTGTGCCGTGTTCTGATATTAATGGTGGCTGGATACAGAGGAACCAACAATAGTTCTCTTGCATGGTACTTACATTTTTCTGACCTTCTTATGCATTGATTTTGAGCTACTGTAATGTTATTTTCATTGGTGTATGTGTGCATGTGTGTTTAGGTACGTGTGTGTGTGTGTGTTTGTGTGCGCGTGTGTGTGTCTGTGTGTACAAGAATATATGTCTTGTGTCTATACGTGTGTGTATACTTCATATATATATTATGTGTGTGTGTGTGTGTGTACATGTGTGTGTACGTGTGTGTGTCTGTGTGTCTGTGTTTGTGTGTGCGTTCGTGTGTGCTTGTGTGAGACAACAATAACATTGTGGGGTAAATTGTTGCTTTTACACTGATCTACAAGAAGGATTCCTCTGCTGTGACTATGCCGCTCAGAGAGACCTGAGCTTGACACTGAGCTAGCATGAGAACTGATTCGGATTAATGATGAGGATAGTTAGTTAACGTCGGGAGAAGGACTTGAACAGGCTGTCAGCTGTTATCATGGTTTTGCCTTGTGCCTTTGAAAAGATCCTTATGTGCTAAAGACAAGGTATGCATGCATTCATTTTCAATACATACTGTAAAAGGAAAATATTTTTGGTGGTGTTTATTTTCGGTAACTTCAGTGCCGACAAGTTTTACCTAAAATAAAACGTAAAATGGCAATAAATAAGATAAATTGTGCACTCATAACAACAGCAAAAATGAAGAAAGTCAAGTTCCATAACGTTTTCTTGTGACTGTCATCAGTGGAACGCCGTCACATAAAAATGTAATAACTAAAACACGCACTTATATACATGTAGCTAATATGGTTTCAGGTAGAAATACAGCAGCTAACAGGTACAAAAAGCGAAGTTTGCACCTTTGCAATGTGTGAATATAGTGTATGTGAGAAAGGTAGTGGCAAATGAATGTGATACTGTGTGAATGAATGTAATGGTGCGTGTGTATTATTTGAAGAGTGTGAGTGATACAACGTTTTCTTTCTGTTTACATAGCACAGGGTCACGAGTACGAATATACACAGCCTCCAACACCTGCAATTGCTTGAAGAAACGTGCGCAACGAATAACACTAAACCAGGAATCGTCAAACACCTTACGACATTCTGGACTGGACACCAAATGCTTGTACACTGCAGACTTCCTCTTGTCAACATCAAACTCCTCCTCATCACTACTCTCATCCTCCACCTCCATTCCAATGCCGCCGTCCATCCCATCGCACTCGTATTCGTCGTCATCAGTCTCCATCTCCTCGCGACACTGCTTCCCTCTCCTTGATTCGTTCTGTGCCGTGCCTGTGCTTCCTCCTGCGTCTCCTTGCCTTGTGTTCTCCACTTGTCTCAGTCGTGCCTCTGCTAGTCTCTTGCTTCTCCTCGGTTCTGCTCTGTTTTCAAGTTGTTCCCCTTCCGCTCTTACCGTTGTAGCAACATGGTACAGTGTCCAGTCCAGAATGTCGTAAGGTGTTTGACGATTCCTGGTTTAGTGTTATTCGTTGCGCACGTTTCTTCAAGCAATTGCAGGTGTTGGAAGCTGTGTATATTCGTACTCGTGACCCTGTGCTATGTAAACAGAAAGAAAACGTTGTATCACTCACACTCTTCAAGTAATACACACGCACCATTACATTCATTCACACAGTATCACATTCATTTGCCACTACCTTTCTCACATACACTATATTCACACATTGCAAAGGTGCAAACTTCGCTTTTTGTACCTGTTAGCTGCTGTATTTCTACCTGAAACCATATTAGCTACATGTATATAAGTGCGTGTTTTAGTTATTACATTTTTATGTGACGGCGTTCCACTGATGACAGTCACAAGAAAACGTTATGGAACTTGACTTTCTTCATTTTTGCTGTTGTTATGAGTGCACAATTTATCTTATTTATTGCCATTTTACGACTATTGTCTCCTCGTCGATTGTTTAAAATAAAACGCACGGGAAATTCCGGTACAAGTACTAGTACACTTGCCAAGAGAACGGGTTTATCGAAAATTTCCCTCCACCGAACCGTCGCCTTTGGAGAGTACCGAAAAAAATTACATCACTGAAAATTTCTGCTTTTACAGTAGCAGAAGGACACACTACAAGCTCTTGAACAACATTTCTTAAAGTTTTCACTAGCATACTTTCAAACTGAAACTGCTCATGCTTTCACTCTTGCTCACTGCAGGCTCTGAAGTCGGGCATTCACACGATTCTTTCGAAAGAGGAGCTTGCTCTTTTTACAGCAAAGGAACTGGCTGCAAGATTCAAGGGCACAAATGCGGTAACTTGTATTGATAAGAAATTGTAGGTTGCTTGCTATGTTAGTAAACTTCATAGAGATCATTTCAGCCAGGTACTCTGACCTCTGTTGATGAGACTGTCTTTAATCCCAATGTTTCCATAGCAGGCAGGCATAGTGGGATGGTCTAAGACCATGATTGAGAAACAGAGGGTACCAGGTTCAAGTCCTGCTTGGAAGCGGAAGGATTTTTTCCAGCCGTGCTGCGACCCACAGTTAATTGGGAACTCGTGGCCTGGCACGAGGGAAACATGGATGCAGTGAATGGGATTTCGGTCTTTGACCACTTTGTGGTGGGTCTGATCTACTCACCTCCCACCGCTTAGGAGCTGCATCTGCGCCTTGATCCAAGAGGGTGGTGGCGTTCCTGCGCATGCGGAAAACTGGGCCTTTGGCCGAGTCTCACGCGAACCGTGAAATTTTTTTTTTCCATAGGAGATATGGAAAATGCAAGTCTGGCTCTGAAACGAGTTGGACGATTTCATCATCATCACGTTGTGTTTCTGGTGATAGTAAATAGCATCTGGCTAGTATAACTCATGCATAGCAGAGTATGGGACCTACAATGCGTTTCGAAAGTAGAAACCTTTAGACTTTCCGTTTTCTTCTTCTCATATAGCCTCGAATTTCGAAGCGATTGGATAAGAAACACCTAATTTCAGAACATGTTATGTGCAGAGTGGGCACACATTTTATACGGTAGAGATGCTGAAACCGGAGGTCTGGACTGTTGAAATACGTACACTGTAGTCAAGGTTGTCTGCAGTTTATTACCGGCGTGTGCCATGACGAAAAGGAACTGTGGATGCACATAATGGCAGCTTCGAGTGGTACAAAGAGATGGCCAAGAGAGTTCAGGTATGTGGCATTGCCTCGCCATAGTTTGTTTCCATGGCTAGCCAGCATGGCACACAATTACGCTTGAACCGGTTAGTACCAGGTGGGCAATGCGCATAGTCTCATGGAGAAGCCAAGGGCAGTGAAGGTTGCCCGATGAACAGGTATGATACGCTCGGCGTATTCAGTTGTCCTTCTCCATTTCCGTGCCTTATGGTTACCCCATGGCTAAATGAACTCCGTGAAGGGAGCTATCCTGCCGTAGGTCCACTGAAGCACGGGTACTTCTCCCATCGGAGATGGCCAGGGCAAGAGAATGGGACCCTGACTGCCTCATCTTCTTTCCACAGAAGGGCAAGACTGACTTTCTGGCCTGCAGGGGACACAGAACACTATAAAATTAAACCCATGGCCAAGGAGTGGTGTTACCATGGTTACTCAGTGTTGCCGTGTACACCGCATACACTACAGTAGCAGCTTGCTTGCAGTTGTATGGTGAGTGCCAGTATATTTATTTATTTATTTATTTATTTATTCAACATCTCCTGGCCCGTCCGAAGACTGCCAATAAACATGAGAGGTCAGGTGATAGCCAACCACGGCAAGCTAAAAGGGAAAAAAAAGAAAGATGCTGTCAGAGAGGGAATATAGCCGACTATCCTCTATCATGTCCTACACCAACATGTATGGCATCATGTTATCAGACGCACACAGATAGAGGCAGCTGCAGTGCACAGTAGCCGCGATGGGTTTTACTTCAACTGACTGGCAAACCACCTGCAGTCTACCGAGTGGGCACAATCGGGTAGTATGCAGGTAATGCCGTGACGTGACTCTCTGAGCAGGAAGGAGCATGGCAGAACTGTACAATAGTATTAGATAGCACCACCCGTGCTCCCTGAAGGCATACCTGCCAAGTATCCCGCATTTTTCGTAATCGACCTTATGCCATTTGTACAGATCCACGAAATCCCGTAGAATCCCGTAGACTCGGTAGGGTGTTCATTGTGTGCTATGCATGCGCGTTTGACCTTTTTAGCGTCATAATTCAATGATCAGCAATCGCTTTTCCAGCTTCTTCACTTTGGTTAGAACTAATGACTAGCTAGATCTTTGTCAGAAAATGGTTTTCGTATGAAATGCCTTCAGGCCCCATTTCTTAGGGACCATCGCAAAAGTTCGCAGAAGCCCCTGAAACGAAGAGCATACGTTTGGGGGGGGGAGGGAGTCGGTGCGAAAATCGCAAACCGGGCTTCAATTCAAAAAAGTATTGACGACATAATTATAGGAGCTGTAGGATTAGCATGCCACCACAGCCGGCGTAGATCGCTTGTCAGGACGCGTATGGGGAATGTGAAAGCAATATACACCAATCAACGTTCATTGTAATGCTCAAAGGATACAACTGCATAGCTCTAGCTGTTCTCGTTCTCAGATCACCCACTGCAAGGTGATATTATCGTTGCATTTATAAAGTGCTGTACATTGTTACACACTGATACAACAATGCTTGTGTAGTATATTATAATAATTATTATGTGTGAGCATCCAAGTGAAAAAATGAAGCCCATATTGTGACTGTCGTTTCGTTTGAGGGGGGAGGGAGGGGGGTCAGGCCCGAAACTCACGGTCTTCGTTTCGGGGGCTTCTGCGAACTTTTGCGATGGCCCCTTAGTGGAAATAGCAGAAAACACAGTAGGGTCCTGCACATTCAACACCCTACCGGGTTTACGGGATTCTACGGGATTTCGTGGATCTGCCGGTACAAATGGCGTAAGGTCCATTATCCCGCATTTTGGATGAACACTCGACATCCCAAAATTCCTGTCGATTATCCCGAATATCACTCACAGTACACAAAACAAGTCTTGATATTGTTCTTGGAGAACTTCAAGTGACTTGTCTAGTTGTCCTTGTTGCGGGTTCTGTACCGCCCGCATGGCTATAGTATAGTTACCAGTAGATCTACTACTGAGGACTCATTCCATGAACAGTCCCTGATAAACCTCTTGAGCCTTGAACATGCATAAAATGTGATGTACATGTAGATCACCATCATCATCATCATCATCATCATCATCATCATGAGAAAAGCCTCTTTTACGGGCAAAGCAAATGTATATCATTACAATATGTAAAGTGAACAGGGGAAATCAACACAAAACCAACCGGAAAATGATGAAACACAAAAGCAGTCAAGGAAGTAAATCAATACAAAAACAAACAATGAACACAGAGTAATAAAAGGGGAAAAACCAAATAGCATTATATTAAGTTGAGGCCAAAGGCAGCACCCTACTCCGCCTGGCGGCACTGGGCCAGAAATGAGTTCGGCTGTCGCCTCTTGCCGCACGAACCGCGGCAACCGCGGAAGCAGGTGACTGCCCATCGCAGCAAGCAGAAAGACAAACGGGTGCGTAGTATGCCCATTACTAGTGGGTACTTCAGTTCAGTATGGCGCTCAACAAACAGGGAGGCCAATGATTTCAGGAATTGAGTAGTTTCTGGGCCACTAAAGCCGTACGTCGAGAACACAACATCATCATCATCATCATCATCATCATCATCATCATCATCATCATCATCATCATCATGGCGCTTACCCTTTTGTTGCTGTTTTGTTGCTTTCATGCCTTTAAGCATGTAATTGTGTTCAATTGTTGTATTTCATGGAAAAACGATCTTTGCGTTGGATTCATTTAAACTATTATTTGTGTAGGGTTCCACTCCTTCATCTTGGGAAATTGTGTTTTGTTCCACTCCTTCATCTTGGGAAATTGTGTTTTGTTTGCCCAAAGAAGTGGCTTCATCATCATCATCATCATCAGAATCATCATCATCAAAAAAAAAAAAAAAAAAAAAAAATCATCATCATCATCATCATCATCATCATGAGAAAAGCCTCTTTTACGGGCAAAGCAAATGTATATCATTACAATATGTAAAGTGAACAGGGGAAATCAACACAAAACCAACCGGAAAATGATGAAACACAAAAGCAGTCAAGGAAGTAAATCAATACAAAAACAAGCAATGAACACAGAGTAATAAAAGGGGAAAAACCAAATAGCATTATATTAAGTTGAGGCCAAAGGCAGCACCCTACTCCGCCTGGCGGCACTGGGCCAGAAATGAGTTCGGCTGTCGCCTCTTGCCGTACGAACCGCGGCAACCGCGGAAGCAGGTGACTGCCCATCGCAGCAAGCAGAAAGACAAACGGGTGCGTAGTATGCCCATTACTAGTGGGTACTTCAGTTCAGTATGGCGCTCAACAAACAGGGAGGCCAATGATTTCAGGAATTGAGTAGTTTCTGGGCCACTAAAGCCGTACGTCGAGAACACAAGTGGCGTGAAGGAGCCGCGCTCCACGTTAACCACACGGCTGGCGTATTGATTTTTCTTGTTTCGCTCGTGAGACTTCAGCTGACTCAGGGCTTGTGATCGAGACAACACAGACGCTGCGGGATGAGTGATCCGCACATCAAAGTAAGCGTCCTGTTGCCACGACCAAAAGCCGCGAGCCCGCACATCCAGACGAGCTTCTGCGCATCGGTTGAGGGAACGACCACCAGGCAAATGCTCACTGCTGCAGGGCAATAGCCGGGGCTCCGTCTCTACGTCCACCACTCCAGCCTCCCTCAGTAGTCCAGCAACCAAGTCCCGCACCTCATTGTGACGGGCAATGGTATAGCCGCCAGTGGCACAGGTAAGTGCATGAGCGGGGCTGAGAGGCACACCACATCATCATCATCATCATCATCATCATCATCATCAGGGTATTTTGCCCAGATGCTCCTTCCTACGGGTCCAGAACCCTTCCTGCATTGTACCAGCAGCACGAGCGGCGTAAGTGGAACGAATATGGGCCAAGAGTCACAAATGTAGAAAGAGCCGCTTTCACACCTCTCGTGTTCTCTGTGCATGGTGGTTGTGGGAGGCTGTGCAATGTGTTCCTCAAGAGACTGTGCCAGATGCAGGCCGAGTCATCGGGATCTCACTATTCCCAGGTCATTGGCTTACTCCGCTGTCGGCTGTCTTTTGCTTTGCTGCGTGCTGCTGTGTTGTGCATACGTGGGGCTCGGTCACGGTACCACCATCCGGCGAGATGTTTTCATGATGTCTCGATTGCCGTGGCCGAGTCAGGT